ATTACTGTAATAGATACGGAGCGTTTTTTTCTGGAAAAAAGAAAAAAGTTAAAAAGTTAAAAAGTTAAAAAGAGAATCCCAATTCCCATCCGACGATTAGTTGTATAGCGTATTTTTGCAGCTAACTCACCAATAATAGCAGAGGAGCAGTGTTAAAAGAAGAAGATAAAGAGGCAAAGAGGGCGCCATCGTAGATCAAACGGAGCCATGGATCCAGACTCAGTTGCCAAAGCATTCGTAGATCACTACTACTCCACCTTCGATTCCAATCGGGCCGGCCTTGCTAACCTCTACCAAGAGGCTTCTATGTTAAGTTTCGAAGGCGTCCAGATTCAAGGTGCTCAGAGTATCGTTGCTAAGCTCACCAGTCTCCCCTTCCAGCAGTGCAAGCATCATATCAACACCGTCGATTGTCAGCCCTCTGGTCCTGCCGGCGGTATGCTTGTCTTTGTTAGCGGGAATCTTCAACTCCCCGGAGAACAGCACGCCCTCAAGTTCAGTCAGGTATTTCCCCTATACTTGGTTAATTGTTGTAATTGGCGATCTACTTCTGTTAACTATAATTTTCTAAATCGGTTATAGAAGGAAAATGGATGGAATCTAGATTTCCTTTTCCGAACACATTGGTGCTGCTGTGATATTGGTGTACAACAATCCTAAAAGAGGAATTGGGCGATGTCTCCCTCTAAACTTGTCGAACTGCGAATAATCTAACACCAATTGACTTTCCATTTCGAGGATCTCGTGAGATTCTGATAATTTAGAGATAGGTATGTGATTTACAGATTTTAGGTTTACTGCTGCGGGACTAGTTATGCTAATGTGCTAATAGCGAGATACTCTAGGCTCTATGTAGTATGTCCTTGATTGTAACTTGTAAGTATGTCTCCCGAGTTATAGCTTTGATGGCTGTGGAAGGATAGAGGAAGGTGATCTCTACGTGTTTGGATGCCATTTAGTTTGTAGTATGACATCAAAGTTGCTTACTAGATTTTAGGCTTCAATTGAACAATATATATGAGTGGTATCTTAACTACCTTAATTGATATGCCTGAGAGCCTGCTACAGCCCAAACGTGTGCGGTAATCTTAGGTACTGAGGGTGTAGTAGAAGGGCTTTAACTGTGTGTCATAGTTGAGATTTGTACCTTAGACCTCCAACTTATTAGGAACAGGACACTGCACACATATGCTATTAAGTGCATTCTGCTCTGCCAAACCTCAATTGTTGCTCATATGTCTAGTTGCTAATTTCTTCCGAGACATTCTCTTCGTTATCGCTTTCTTCATCCGTGTAAAGATGTGCATCTTTGAATTTTTTTTTATCAAGCTGCAATGCTCTACAATGATTTGGCTGTCTTGGCAGGGATGAATTTTCGCAAAAAGAACAGTTGAACAATGCAACTTCAAATGCTGTTAATGCTAAGGTTCTCTTGTTAGAGAGAATATAACTTAACCGAAAATACTAACAAATTACAAACTGTGTACACCTGTTCAAATAAATTTAGCTCTCCACATTGCAAATGCAACTTACTAGCATATTTGGTCCCCTGAGTATCACCATAAGTATAAGTTGATCCTTTATGAATCAATGCTAAAGCTTGGACCTTTAAATAACATCAAGTCCAACACTGGATGGAAATCCCATAACTAGTCATGTTACCAGACCACTCCATTACAAGGGAAAGGAATATTATTCCTTTTCCAGAACCCATTCCCAAATGAAGAGAGCTCTAATGGATCATACTGTTACCCAGACTTTCTGCTTGATGAACTCTTTCATCTGCCACGCTGCCCGTTTGGATTGGCCTTAAAAAAGTAGCTTTTAAGTCAAAATAAAAAAGTCAAACTGAAATGACTTTTAAGTCAAAAAATAAAAAGTAGGGGGAGACCTACTTTTGGTTTTTGACTTATTTTAAGTCATTTTTTACCTTGCCAAACACATCCTAACTTCTTTTAAGTCATTTTTGACTTATTTTAAGTTATTTTTTATATTTGCCAAGCACTTCTAGAAGTAAAAAATTGTCTTAAAAGTAGGTTTGACCAACTTTTAAGCCAATCCAAACACCTAAATCCTTTTCCAATGCCTTGCTTTGTAAAACTGAGAAAACCAATTTTGATCTGCCTTGAGGATTACTACACCACCAACATAGGCCAGTTTGTTGCTGTAGGAATGGCTGAATCACTCGGAAACATGAAATTTATCATTGTGAATTTCCTTTTCCGTGCAGTGTTCTCAGTTTGTAATGCCAGAGATAAGTTTTCCTGCTGCTAATATATTCATGTTTTGATCTAAGGAAATTTAGACTTGCAATTGTCAATTGCAACTATAGAAAGAACCAAAATTTCTTATCCAAAGCAAGGATTTTATGTTTGGGTTACTTAGCATAGCTTCTGTTTAAAGTTCTGAAATGACCCTTACCATGAAAAACAACTTCTTTTTACAACACATAACTCTAATAGAAATTTAAGTTTGTTCCATTATGCCAGAGACAAAATGCTTAGCCACAAATCTTCCATGTGATAGTCTGACACTTGCTAAAAGAAGTAGTGATAGTCTGATAGTTGTCATAACATTTCTTCTTGCTAATATGTTTAGAGTGAGCATTGTTTTACTGCAAAGTATCCTGCAGATGGGCTTTAGTAGAATTGAGTTACTTCTGGCATTGGTATAGAGTATAGACTATTGGTTAGTTATTTGAAGTGTAATGGCTGTTATGATGACTGTTGGTGAAATTTATTGGATAATGTGTAAGTAATATCACATGTATATGGTCACCCATTTCCCAGGGAAAAAAGGCAGTGGCTAAGTAGCATTTCAGAACTTTTGGAATAAGTGAACAATAAACTTCCAAAGGCAGTTATACTCGAATTTCTTTGTGTGTAGCTGACTTAAGGAAGAAGAAAACAATAATTTTCTAATCCCATTTTCTTACTCAAAATGTGTTTTTTTGGTCATGCATTTTGTGGGAGGGTGTTTTTCGTTTGGTGGACTTCAAAAAGGATTTTGGTTTTATCAAATGTGTTTATTATCTGTATCCTTATAGATTGTTTAGAAAAGTTTAATAGCATAAGTTTTAGAATGTCTTCATTTTGATTTCCCTGTATAATAGTACTGCCCATGTCTTGTACTCTCTCCGTCCCCTTTTACTTGTCCAGTAATACTAAAAATAATTTACCATTATATACCTGTTTTAACCTTATTACTAAGAATTATTCATTTCCCAATGCATTTCTCGAAACATTAAATTTATTATATTCAAAGGGTGATATAGTAAACTCATCATTCTATTAATTAATAATCTGTAAGAGGGAGTATTGTCTAGCTTTGACTTAATTATTTTTTGATAAAGTTGTATTTGATTGAATCATGTATTCTTTAGCAGATTGCTGCCTTACTTTGTTTTCTGAAGCCTTGCCTGATTATTTTCCTCCCTTGTTGTCGTATAACAGAGGCCTATTATTATAAGAAACAACATCCATTTTTGAATGGTGGGTAGTCTTTGGCCTCATCCTTAAAACACATTATGCAGACAGATTATGTGATGTTGTCCTATACAAATTCAAAGATGAGATTGCATGATACTCATACAAATTCAAAGATAAGATTGCATGATACTCTGTTTTCACTTTCTTTTCATTTGTCCTGCTTTTTATTTGCCTTGCATTGTTTCCCTATATCCAGACACAACATTGAAAAACTTCTGTTTTTGACGATTCAGAAAAAATAAAGAAGTGACAAGTTTTTGTGAGTTGCTTTTAGTTTGGGCAATTGAGCCCTCAGTTTCTTTTTTCTGGAATTTGTGTTTCTGATAATAGCTTTGCTGCATTGTCTGTGGATATGCCGAGAAACTGCAGATACTAAAGCCTTCTATTGAATTTGACCTTTATAGTAATTCTATGCTATGTTAGATGCTTTATAACCGTGTTTGATAAGGAGCCTGTTTCAGAACTTGTTCACACTCAAATTTCTAGGTTCTTACTCTTTGTTTGGATTGCAGATGTTTCATTTGATGCCAACACCCCAAGGGAGTTTCTATGTATTGAATGACATATTCCGGTTGAACTATGCATGAAGAAGGGTACTGGGTTGAATTGTCTTTTGTTCGTGTTTTCTTTGATTGAACAAATTTGCTGAATATATTCTAAGAGTTTGAAAGGCATTGTTTCAAAAGACTGGTTTGCTGGTTGTGGCTTGATTAGTGATCAATGGATTTAAGTTTATTGAAAAGCTAATGATATCTTCCTTGTTGCGAGATATTATATGCTTTAAATGTTACTGCTTCTAAGTCTCACTTTATCTTTGTCTGAACTCTATGATGGATGTTCGTATCATTTTCTCTTTGTTTGGATTGCCACCTTTAATAGTTTAACCTGATGACAAGTTTTGGGTAATTGAGAGAGTTTGTACTGGGAGAGGTTTCTTACCAACAATTTTGGGGTAAAGAGTGGAGATGTTTTTTTTATAAAAAATTATACCAGTAGGAAGATTGAAATGGATATGTTTAGTTTTGAAAAGTTATGGCACAAACAATTCGTGTTGATTCTCGTGGCAAAGTTTCTTCCAACTCAATTACATATTTCTATTTGCTAGTATTTTGTTTCAGGAAAGGTGTAACCTTTCGATTCTTCATCATTTGGGGGCCAATTTCTTGTAAAAACAGAAAAAAGTTAGAATAACATTGTGTAAAAGCAAAGAATTTATTTTAATGCATGTTTGTGGGGAGAATCAGAATGTTGATCTCGAAAGCAACCTACTTCGTGGTTCTGAACATCAAAATCAAAAGCAGCAGCCCCACTAATAGACACAAGGTTGTGGTCTAAGCAAAGGATAACTTGTGAAATCCGAATACCTTCACTTAGTAACCTTGTGTATAAATTCCACCAGGGTATCCACCCAAAGCAAACTAGAAAATCTTTGAGTTTCAATAGCCCCATTACTATACTTTTTGTAAGTGCTGTACCAACGATCAAATCCAAAAGGGGATTAGGATAATATAGCGTTTAGTGAGAGGAAAATGTCTGATTGGGGTCCAGTGTTTGTGGCGGTGGTGCTGTTCGTCCTGTTAACGCCGGGTCTGCTGGTTCAGGTGCCGGGTCGCAGCCGATTTGTTGAGTTTAGCAACTTTCAGACGAGTGGAGTGTCGATATTGGTTCACTCACTTGTCTATTTCGCCCTCATTTGCATCTTCTTATTAGCCATTGGGGTTCATATGTACACGGGTTAAACCCTTTACTGGAATCATAGTGTGATCATCATGCTCCACCATTGTTTTGCTACTATTTGTGTTGCGTCAGAATTGGTTGTCTTTTATTTTTATTTTTTTGCTTTTGCTTCTTTCTCTCTTTTTTACCATTCAAATTTGACGTGATGTATTATGTGTTGGGAAAGCTCTAGTTATCAATAAATGATCTTTTTGAAGAGGTAGTCTTTCTTGTGCTCCTGATTTCAACAAGCGGAACACACCATGTGATGTTGATTGTTGCGTGGGGCCATAGTGGCAATTCATGCTTGTTGAATTGCATAATTTTAAAAAAATCAGGAATCATTATTCACTTAGCAAAAACGGCTATGCTCAAATTCAATTATTTGCGGATGTTTGGATTTTCACCCAAAATAAAGTGATTTAGCAATATGCAATTTATTAGGGGACTTTATTAAGTGGGAAAATTCTAGCTTGTTGAACTATTAAATTCAATAATAATATTAAAAAGTCACCAATAATTGAGTGAATTCATCCACTGAATTAAAAAAAGAAGAAAAAAAATCTTAGCTGTCGAAAGGAAACAAAAATGAAATCATCAATCAAACCGGTGAGTGATATAAATTAAAGTAATGAACTGGGAATACAAAAGTAGATGAATTAAGCATAGAGATGTATATTGAGAATGACAAGGAAAAGCATAAGAAACAAACCAAAGAAGAGAGTGTGAAGCAACATAGAAACGATACTGGTCTTCATATTCATGAAATCGACAGGCCTATGTTTTCCTGGCATTTGAAATATAAGTCCTGGACATAGAAATCCAAATAGCGCTGTTGCTATGATCGGAGCTGCCCAATCCTTCATCCTGTTTTGATTTGTGAGATCCAACCCTTCAAATTAAATACAAGGAAGAAAAGTAGCTTTAATAAGTAGAAAATGATTTTCAGAATCCTATTCCCCCGACAACTTTTACTGTATTTTCTTATTACTACTACTAGTGGTGTGTTAGTTGGGGTTGGATAACCCCAATCATGCATCAATAATTCACTTAATACTATCATATTTTACTCACTTCTTTTTAACCTTTGCACTTTCGGCTGTTAACAGCTCACATATATAATGTTTCTTCTACTTTCTTTTTTATGTATTTTTTCCATTTTTGTAACTCTTTAATTTCAATTGTCATATGAATATTTAAGAACCATAAAATTAAAAGAACATATTGATATATTTTAAATATCTTTAATTTAAGGCCATAAAATTTAAAATCTTCTTTACTTTTTAATTTCGTATCAAATCAAAATCGGATAAAACAGAGAGTGTAGTAAAAGAAATTTGATTAGACAGCATTGTAAAAAGTAGAGAAATTAAAGGAAGAGGTGAAAGTGAAAAAAAGGGATAAAGGAAAAGGGTGATGTATTCACATTATCCGACCACCTCATGGGAAATTAAATCTTCCCATACCGTGTTGTGGCATCATGTCTCTTGACTCTTACTAGGAACAAGTAAAAGTGTCAAAGAGAATGGAAAATAAGTACAAGTGTCTATTAGTCTCTTAACAAAGGCTAATAAATAGGGGTGTTCATGGTTTGGATAAAAACCGATCCAAACCGAAAAATCAAACCAAACCGATAAAATAAAACCGATTTTATTTGGGTTTGGTTTGGTTTGGTTTTAGATTTTTGAAAACCGATAATATTTGGTTTGGTTATGGTTTTATTCAAAAAAACCCGAAGAAATAACCGAACCGAATCGATGAATTATATACATATATTTTATTAATATACATACTTAATATATTGTTTTAATAAACAATTTTAAAGATCTTATACATATTTTCATTAAAATTTCTTTATCATTTACTTATTGAAAGCAAAAATGCCCAAGATGAAACATTTATCTTATTGATTTCATGTATATGAATGTTTATGACAATTCTTTGTGGGACTGAAAATGTTATTGTCTCTTCCTTCTAGGCCAATATAGTGAATTTTAAAGCTTTATTGATAGTAAATTTAGTGATCGAAAGTTCAGTAATTTAAGTCATTCTAACTATTTTTTCGTTTTGAATGGATTGTTGTCACTTTTTTCACATTTTAAATGAATTGTTTCTTTTATTTTTGTGTATGGTTAATAACCGAATAACCGAACCAAACCAAACCGAAACCGATAATCACCAAACCGATAAATGTATATTATATTTGGTTTGGTTTGGTTTTGATAATTTTAAAACCGATTAAGTTGGTTTGGTTTTGGTTTTGACCAATAACCGATCCAAACCAACCCGTGAACACCCCTACTAATAAACATCTTAACTAAAATTAGGGGATCATTAAATAGGATTTTGGGGGCATCTATGCAACTAGAAAAAAGGCAGAGTTATCAACTTACCAAAATTTTAGGACACAATAGTAAATTTGGCATTCTATTGTTTCATAGTAGTACTTTTAAACAAGAAGGGAAATAGAAAAATCCACATTTGTGTAAAACTTTAATCAACTCGATGGAAATTTTTTCTTAACAAATTTAAAATATTTAAATCAATTTGGTGGAGGTTATTCACTATTCAAAAATATTTTATCATCTAACCCCTCCTGTTATTTCTCTATAACCTTTATCAAATACTAGAAACAAATTAAAAATAATATTTAAATCAACTTGGTTCCTATTCAAAAGTATTCTGTCATCCAATGCTCTCATGTTATTTCTTTACCTTTAATAGTTACTTTAATAAAAACTTTATATCCCACTTTTAAAGATTTTTCTTGGTCCTCTGATTTAAATTCAGCAGAATATGTTCTTCTGCCACAATGTGCCTGAGCAAAAGCCTTTTTTTTTCCCTACATAAAGTTGAAGGGGTATGTTATTCATCACCATCTTATAATATAAAATGGGGTAAAATTGAATTTACTGTTTTTCAATATTTTGCTCTCCTTCTTTTACTTCCTCCCAGGTATTATGCTTAGCAGCTAGGAAAGAAAGAAAGAAAGTGAAAAAGAAATTTGTGTCTTCCCTTTTGGGGCCTCTTGAGTAAATAATAACCTACCGTTTATTAGGATTAAATAATACTCCCTCCATTTCATATTAACTTAAGTTTTGAGCCCTTTTCCATTTTTCAAATTAACTTTAAGTTTTCAATCTTCAAGACTATTTTTAAAATATTCTTCCAATTTTACCCTTTAAGTTAGTGTTGGAATTAATTATTATAATTAATAATTAGTTATTTTTGACAATAATTAATAAGGGTAAAAATGAAAAATTATGTTCAATTTATGTCCTAACCTACTTTTCTTAAAGGGTGTAAAACACCTCAAAGCTTAAGTTAATATGGAATGGAGGGAGTAAGTTATAGGAAAATACATATTAATTTATAATAATTAACTGATAAGACTTTATTAAGTAAAAATTCATATTCTTCCACCATTTTAATTCATATGAATTGATTTATCTAGACACAAAATATACTGTAGAAAAAGAAACTATTAAAGTTTCTAGCTTTAAAAGTATCATAAACACTCATTCAATAAAAATTATAGTATAACATTTATGATTTGAATTTGGAACCTCAATATGAATTTTGAATTTCTAAATCACTATTCATATCTACATATCCAATGCATCTTTCTCCTTCGAATAATTTATTTTTCAATTGAGTCTTGACCCGGGAAAAATTGTCCCCTCCTTATTTCTATTTCGTTGCTTTACTTTAAAAAATAATAATAAAAAATTCTCTCTCAAGAAATTGCCGAAAGTAAATTACTCCCTGTTTAGCATTTCTAGGCCATAATATTTTAGTCTTCTTATTTTATTTTAAAAATAAATTATGAATAGAATTTTAAGAGGAATTAATTTTTATTTACATAATAATTAAGAATCAATAATTATATTTTTAAAATTTAAAAATAATATAGTAGTTAAATTTTTAAAATTATGAATGAGTAATTAATTTTTGAATGCCAAAATTAAGAATACCACTTGTTTTTTGGGAGGAGGAATTATTTTCTTTTTATTACATAATACTAAATGGTTGTGCTCACAAATAGATCCAAAAATTCCTAGTGAGTAGTGTCCTTGTCATACGTATACTAATGTTAAGTAGCGACTAAACTAGACGTTTCCTCCATCTTCCTTTCTTTCTTTCTTGGCAGCGTTCTCCATAAGCTACAGCTACACCTATTTTGTTTCTTACCCCTTTCTTCCGCTACAGAAATAAATAGCTCTCTGTTAATGGCGGACTGGGGGCCAGTGCTCATCGGAGTAGTACTCTTCATACTGCTGCAACCTGGACTTCTATTTCAGATACCGGGTAATAACCGTACTCTCGAATTTGGGAGCATGAAGACTAATGGAAAGGCGATTGCTGTTCATACTCTTATTTTCTTTACACTCTATGCTATTCTCATTCTCGCTGTTCATGTTCACATCTATACTGGATGATCCTGTAGTAACACTACTCCAGATCTTCTCCCCCTTTTATGCTACTACCATTTTCACTAATCCAACTTGTAAGCCCTATTTTCTCACTGAACTTAAGATCTGTTTCTTTGTAATTTTGTTTTCAAGCGGAAATATCAGAATTCCTCGCGTTTATTATAGTTATTATGCCCTATTTAATTTGCCTGCTGTTTCTCTTGCTTATTCAAATGGGTTTGTGTGTCTGAATTTGGGATCTCTTTTAACTATATTCCGGCCTCTCGAAATCTTAAGAAAACAGAGGCTGCAGTAGAGTAGGAGTAAATCGTATAGAATTGATGGGCTTGTTTAATTAGTTAGCTACTAAGCTGTAGTAGAGTTGGAGTATAATGATTCTATAACATAGTGATTCGTATATAGTTAAGCTTAGTTTAATTACATAACAACGGAAAATGACTAGTGATCTCATTTCTGCGTTCAACTCCCTTCACCATCAACCGGTAGGTTAAGGTTCAAGTCACGCGGAAGGGTAATGGTAACCCTATTGATCCTCTTGGTGGGGGTGGGAAAAAACAATTAACTATAGACAGCTTCAGTGTAAACTCATTTGCAGCCTCTATCCAGAGTAGTATTTGGATTTCTTGGTAGCAATTTAAAACGGATTCTATAGTGAAATATGCAGGACTCAGTTTTCGTGCTCGATTTCTTGGACCAGAGATATATGCCATTGTACCCATATGATTGATGGACTAGGGACTATTTCCGTATTTGTTCAAGTTCCAATTTACTCCTCCTAACTTAAGTTTTTTATCCCCCAGCTCGTATTTTGGTGCTTAAATTTAATCGTTGAGATCTGCAGCCCATTGCTTTCGCCTTGAGAACAGAATGATTCTGTCTTTTCGTCTATTAGATGTACTACAATCTTAAGTAAAGCAGATATGCAGGATGTTGCATTTTGTCTAAAATATATATATCATGTTCACTGTAATAATATTGGAAAAGGAAAAAAAAGAGGAAGATTCTGAATTATGAACTATCATGTACTGAGAATATGATGAAGTGGTCCAAAAACTTGTTCCTTTCATTTGATACACATTTTGATATAGAAGGGACACCACTTTGTCAGAGTGTTTCAGAAGGTCAAACTAGTTCAACAGAAAAGAAACATAGAGAAAAAGTTGATAAAACAAGAATTCCCTCTTCTGCAAAAGCTTTCCAAGAAGAGATGAAAATTTGGCTGGAGCAGCAGCGGCCACGAAGAAAACTCAAATGCTGCCTTTATTGCTAGTAGTATCAACCGGATCGTATGTGAACACCAATTGCAACTATCAAGATTGTATATATACAGAAGAATAAGATGGCATGGACTAGGATGGAAATCCCACTTGTGTACATGTTCCCGAACTCAATCACCCGAGTCCTTGCTGGTAGCTGGAATAGCAATCCTGGTGACAGTAAGATGAACATCGCCACTGCAACCACCACTGGCCCCCAATCTGCCACCATATTTATTTCAAGTATCGGGTCTTTCTCGCTCTCTCTCAAAGAAGTACTCAAATGTCTGAGCTTTAAGTTTCTCTCTGTTGAATTTAGATGTGGTGTTTGCAAAATTGTAGCAGCAGATATAATGGAAATGTAAGTGATTTTGCTTAGTGAAGAAGGAGAAGGGGATATACTAAACTTGAGGGTTAAAAGCAAGCATTTGTGTTTTAAAGGGGAAGAAAGGTATGAATTGTGTTAGTGGGATTTTTTGCTTTATGGAAGTAGACAGAAAACACCAACTTTGTGTTTAAGTTTCCGATTATTGAAGAACGCGCAAGCCTTTCTTTTGCCTTTGCTTTTCAAATTTTATCACATAAAATTCATCAAGGTGGGGAGACTTTAAAAAAGAAAGGTGGTGCTGGTGCACGTGGAAAGCAGAGAAAATGCCAAAACTTTGTGCGTTTACATTAATGCAAAATGCTTTAATTTAGCTAATTTATATTTAAAGGATTATATCTGATTACATTACAGTTAATACCTCAGCTGCTAATCAGTCAAACTTAGGAATGTTTAATTTGTATCTTTGTCCATGACAGATGAAAAGAACTAGGAGGAGGTGCCCACAGTGGATTTGCCTTTGTTTAAACCGCGTTGAGCAAAGAGGCCACATCGTCTCATGAGTCATGGTCTTACAAACTGGGGGCTTGCCCTTCTAAAGAAAATGCATCTTCACAAGTGTTTCAACTTTTATGCGCATTGTAATTTCTCACATGTCAAGTTAACTTACCGGTAATAACAAATAGTAGTCTAAGTTGTTTAAAATTACATAAGACAAACATGATTAGATAACTTGAAAAATAGAGTCCTCTAGATTTTGACTGGTGCTGCCGTTTGGTTTTGTTGATGGAGTTTTTCTACGCAATTGGAAGGAATGTAATAGGAGAAGTAGGTGTTATCAGATATTGGGTCGATGAAGTGAATGATGGGCTCTTATAGTTTGTTTCTGCTATTCCATGTGCAGATAGGCCCGTCCATCTAAAACTGAAAACAGAGTAGTAATTCATATTATATAGGTCTTAGAATGGCGAAAGCCCACAAAGGAAAACAGAGTAGTAATTCATATTATATAGGTCTTAGAATGGCGAAAGCCCACAAAGGAGACTGCCGTGCCGTCCAGGAGAAGAGTTGAGAAGGTTGTCAATTGTTTGTTGCGTGGCGGGCAATCGTGTCATTGCTGTTCGCTATCAGCTGATAATACAAATACTTTATTTGTCTGACGGTGCCATGATTATGATACCTCTTTGTCTAGTTTCGCTTGTCCAAAATTTGCTCAAATAGATAAAGCCAAGCCACGCCACCGATCTACAAGTTTCATGTCTATTAACTCTTCCAAAATTATTCATTCATTCATTCTTCTTTTTCCCACTTATCTCCACGAGTAATAGAGATGGCTGATTGGGGACCAGTTGTAATAGCGGTTGTTCTGTTTGTGCTATTGAGCCCTGGGCTTCTGTTTCAACTCCCAGGAAATAACCGGGCAGTAGAATTTGCAAACTTTCAGACAAGTGGACTCTCTATTTTAATACATACCATTCTCTTCTTTGGCCTCATTACCATCTTCCTTATTGCCATTGGTGTCCATATTTACACCGGCTAGCTAGCTAGCTATTTGCTACTCACTTTGTTACCTTCAGCGTTTGTGATCCACTACTTTCAATTCTTGCTTTGCTGCGGATTAGGCTTGTTCTGGATCTTACTGCAACCCCATTTTAAGTGCTCTGTTTTTCTCTGATCGATTTAATTCACAGCTTCTAGTTCAAATTCTGTATTCATTTATATGGTTGGTGGTGTACCAGAATAGTACTCTTTAATATTACTAAATCAGTTTGTGTTTGATTTTGTCGACTATTACAATTCATATGTTGTGCAAGTTGACTGTCTTTCAAAAAACATATATACTCGCTGATGTTATTATCAAGAAAATATATCAGTAAGTTAACAAGGAAACAAGATAGTAGAGATGGACGGATCCAGGATTCAAGTTAAAGTTCTTACCGTTCATCTCATTATATATTATATCTTAAAAGTTTTGATTTCATATCTATAAATTTATGTACCATACCGGGAATACTAGTTGCAGATGAAGCCGGTGACCATCCAGATCTGAAGACAGTAGGAATATCACATAAAAAGGCTAGATTATATCATATATCCGGTTAATAAGGTCTAATTTCGATGACAAGAAAATATGTATGGTAGGTAGAATTTTTCTCGAATATCCTTTGGACCATAATGGCCCCATATATAATGCACCAAGATTATCTAAGTCCTGCTTACAAGTCAAATGAAAATCCCCTCACCAGATAATTGGATAAGTAACAAGAAAATTAATCTATTCCTTATGACGAAATAAAACAACCGACTTTTTCGTGAAAGAGACATGCATTACTAAAGAGTAGTTTGGAATTCTTCTTCTTCATTTTTTTTTTTAAAAGAAAAATATAGAAAAAATAGCTACCTGTAGTCCATATAGACATAGTGAATTTATATTTTTCATCAGAGACCAAGGGATTGAAGTGTGAATTTCTTGCAACACCCCTAGGCAGTTTATTGATGGAGTAATACCTAAAGCTCTAATTTGCACATTAAAACTCTTTGATTTTACCAATGAAACAAGAAATAGAAAGTGTCATATATTGATTCTAAGGAGCTTGTGGAGTAGTGTGATCCTTCATGAAACTATATATGCAAACAGAACAGATGGTTCATATCAAAAGTTAGACACGCAACTTTTGAAGTTGTAGCAGCAAGTTGTATGCACGGAGAGTATCGAACATTACTACCCATTCAAACTGCAAGTTGAACAACCAATTGCCATTTCTCTCTTGAAATACTATCGATCTAACTAGTAGCTAAGTCCTTAAAATGTCCTTAATTTGAAAGGTGCAGAAAGATTATAAAGACCATACTTGTGAGACATGTGATCGATGATTTTATTTGCTACAACAAATTAAATCAACTTCTGTTATACTTGTATCAAATGATTGATTTGTATGATGAAGTCTTCACTAGTACGTACATTAAAAACAACAATAAGTTAGCATTTAAAGATATTTATAGCCCTTTCCTGAATATATAGGGATCATGTTGTTATAATCATTAATCAATGCTGTAATTAACTTATACAATTCCTTTCTGAATTAACAGGTAAGTTCAAGTGATCTGAAACGCTGTTGAACGCATGATATGTAGTGAGCAGCCTTCATATCAACACTTTCGTCTCCATAAGATTTGTCAACCATCTTGGCATAATCAAAATTAGTGCCATCAGTACTATTAATACTGTTACTCTTCGGTGGAATGTAATATGAAACTTTTGGTTTCTGTGGAAGAGCAGCTTGATCCTGGTTCACTATAAAGCTGGATGATAACGCGGTATTGATGTTATTTGGATTAAAAGGAACAAGTTTTTCCTTTGGCTGATGATGGTGAAGTTGAAGATGATAAACAGTTTGAGGAGGACTGTGGTCGTCGTCCTTGAAGCTGCTGTAATAATTATTAGTTGGTGAAGATGTTACATGAGTAGGTGCTGCTGATCGGTACAAAGACTTCACCAGTTTCCCTTTCATGAACCCTGTTCTGCGCTTGCGGTTCGACTCCATTAATTTTATTTCTCGTCTTTTGGGGATAAAGGCTTTTACAAGATATATACTCTAGCAAGTGTGTAGCTAACTAGATGTTAGATTGACCCGTGAGAGGAGGTATATATAGGTAGTTTAACTATATCTGTACTATACAAACATAATAGTAATTATTATAAACTAATTGAGCATGTGTAATTTCAAAGTAAATATGAAGATAGACTTGAAGCATCAATGAGTACATATGTAGTAGTATTATATTCTTTCTTTTAGCTATATCCATCTCAAATCCTTTTAATTTTGTTTGGAATATTTCTTAATAGTAGCTAATTGACTGATACTCTATTGTTGTGATCATATATGAACTTTAATTATCTGGTGCTAACATAAATGAAAAATGATTTCCTATTTCAAATTTAAGTTATACAGGCCTACAAGGTATAATATAACACGATTCTTTTTAAGTGGATATACAAACTTTTGAATGTATTGTCAATATGAGCAGATACCCTGAATAGGACTCGATATTAAGCGCCAGTATAACATCTAGAAAATGGCATAATACCCTATAATGATTATGGACTTTATATACAAAAGAAAAGACAAGACAATATATGTATAGTTGTGAGACTTGGATGTCCAATATATTGAGTAAGGACTTGCTTCTCCTGCTAAAACTGACTTACTTTTCATGGATCACAAAGACAAATAATACTATCTCCATTCACTTTTAATTGTCATGGTTTTCTTTTATAGAGTTAAACGATAAACACTTTGACTAACATTTTACGATGTATTTTTTCATCATGTTGATATGCAAAAATTGCAATTTATGGTACTTTTTGTAATAGTTTTTGAATATCTACTTTTTTTTGTATAAAATATCAGATTAATGTAATCTAATTTAACTTTGAAAATTAGTCAAATTGACTTTCGAAAAGCGCAACATGACAATTAAAAGTGGACGGAGGCAGTATCAAACAATAAATAGGGGCATATCTAATGTATAGGAATCGACTTCATCTGAACTCATATGTTTTCGATATGGAGCATAAATTGATGTATAAAAAATTGTTAAAATTACAATAAATATTAGATATGAATATTCCACAATCTTAAAAATATAATGGGTTTTAATTTAGTACAAAAAGAAACCTTTAACATAAAAAATTTAAATCGTGGAACCTCCTCTAACAAAAAAAGACCATGTCTTACCCTAGTCATTATATTTGGGTAGAGTTTAATTAAGTTCTATACATGGACAATGGAAGGCAATTAAGTCATGTATTAGGTAATCACAAATTAGTAAATATCTTGATAAATATTCCTTCTAGATGTGTTTCTCAAAGTGATAGTTTATTTATGTTTCTCACCCTCCGAATAATTTTGGTGTAAAACTTAAAAAAGTTGATAGTTTAATTGTGTTTTTGATCCTTCACTTTTTTAAAAAAAATTGAAAGCTTCTATTTTCTAGAATTTGAATTTAGAAGTTTAGATCTTGAAATTCTAACCGTGATCACATAAAATACAAATTAAAAATCTTTAGCGTATATAATTTAAAGGGAATTGGTGATATATATCCGATTATCAGTAGTTATTGGTAGAGATTCCGCAAGAATAAGTTTATCTTACGATACATTAATTAATTAGGTAGCATAGGGTAGAGGGTAGAGTACTGTGATTATCTTTCGAAACAGCAACTTTACTAGAGTCCGGAGCCTAAAGGGCAAAAAAAATTGTCAAAAATTCCAAAAGGGCACATCACTTTTTATTCTAGCCAAAAGGGCAAAATCGCTGCGCCAGCAGCGATTTTCCTCTGACAAAAAGACGAAATAGCAGCGATTTCGTCTAAAAATTTTATTTTTTATTTTTAATTAAAAATCGCTGCCACAGCAGCGATTTTGTAAAAAAAAATAAAAAATTTAAATTAAAAATCGCATTTTGTAATTTTTTTTAATTAAAGATCGCTGCTTTTTCTTTAAAAAAACTAAAACGGCACATCAAAAAAAAAATTAACCAAAAGGGCTTCTGACTCAACTTTACTAGTAGTACACTGGATAGGATAGTACTGCATCTAAAATGCTTTTGCTTCATTGCTTGATTATGATGTCTCTCTTTTATATATTTGACATCATCTTATTTTTCTTGCGTAAACGAACTTAGGCATAAAATTATATGTTGAACGCTGACACAAATGATTCCTGCTTCCATTTCTTGCGATAAGAATAAAGCGACGGGCTTTTCGTGAAAGAGACATTAACAAGAGAGATGAGGCTCTAATATAATTCGCACATGAATTAAACAAGAAGTTAAAAGCTGTCATTTCTCTCTTGAAATATAATACATTATTACATCATCTTTATATACGCGTTCATAAAGCGTACATATATAATGATGATTACAATAATAATTATACATGCATGCATGAGATGTGTTTTATTTACTAGTACAACAACATCAACTAGTTATAAGCTTGTATCATCAAATCGGAGACGACTATATATCTTAATTATTCCTCCTTTTTATCTTTGAATTACACTAGTTATTAAAAAGTGACCTAAAACGCTCCTGAACACAAGATATGTAGTTGGCAGCCTTTATATCAACGCTTTCGTCTGTGTCAACATAATAATAATTACTATTAGTGCTGTTAGAATCGCGGCCAGTACTAATGTAATAAGAAACTTTTGGCTTGGGCGGAGTTGCAGCTTTCTCCTGATTCACTATAATTATGCTATTTGGATTATAAGGAGCAAGTTTTTCTTTTGGCTGAGGGTGATGATGATGATGAAGATGATAAATAGGAGTATCCACCTCCCTGCTGTAATTAGTTGTTGAATTACTCGCCTTTACTGCTCGGCCACGGTATAACGACTTCACTAGTTTCCCTTTCATCAACCCTGTTCTGCGCTTGCGGATCGACTCCATTTTCTTTCTTGTAATTAAAACAAACTAATTTAAAAGTGCCAATGTAATTAAGTCGTGGCTGTGTGGTGAGCTAAGACCTCGAGAGGCCGCATATATATATATATATATATATATAGAGTTATAACATTTACGTACCCACAAAATTCTTATTACATCAAATCACCAAAAATGTAACTTTTTTTTTTACTCCACATACTGTAATTTGCTTTACAAGCAGATATGAAGATAAAGTTGAAGCACTAATCAGGTACGCAGTATTATTCTTTTTGCTATATATATATATTATCCGTCTCCGCTTGATATCTCAAATCTTTTTTTACTTTTTTTTAGCTGGAATGATAATTTAGGACTAACAATAGGAGGGAAACTCATATGTTAGCTGTTGTAATAATTATCTACTAACACACAATTTTTTTTTGCACGATTCCTTATTCCAAAGTACTCCATTTGTTTCATTTTATGTTCCACTTTTCAAATTTTCAGATTTAAACAAGCTTATCTTTGATCGTAAGTTTTTCATTGATCTTTTTAACATTTTAAATTATTAATTATTGTGACTTATACTAGTACTTTTTACATAGTTTACAAATATATAAATTTTATTTCAAAAAATGTGAAGATTACATATGCAAATTTCCAGTCAAAATTAAATTGTTTGACTGAGATTAATTAACTTATGCAGGACACCCGCACACGAATTCCTTTTTAAGTGATGAATAAGACTTTTGAATGTGCTGTCAATATAAGAGTGGATTCCCCGAATAAGACCCGTTTCAATATTTTTGTTATACTTTTTTCTTTTTCATGTGGCATGATATTTTTTTTAAATTTTTTTTTTATTTTTATAATTTGTATTTTGTGATCTAAAATATTTTTTAAATATTCATGTTATTATAAATCATTTTTATTAAAGGTAAGAAAGGTTTTTCAAGTTTAATTGTTTCTAATAAATCGACGTTCTTTTGAAGAAGGACTAAAAAAATAAAGGCCACATAAATGGGATGGAGGGAGTAATTTTTTATACCAACATTAATTCTACATGACATATTTAAAATTAAAGACCATAACATTCAAAAAAACATTTTGGTATGTTACACCTTAAGAAGTAATTAGAGAAATTAATTGAAAAGGAAAGAGTGACAATATTACGATCTAAAATAAATATGAAGACACATATATATAGATATAGACTTGATAGAAAAGAAAAGACAATTAGTTGAGAGAGTTGGATGTAATCCAATTAATATTATTCAATAATCATATAGATAATATCGAACCAGAAACAGGTCATCTTATGCTAAGATACTATATTTGGTTAAATTTTTATCTACGGTGATTGATAGGAGATTCCGATAATATAAATAAAAATATCTTACGATTTAGTGGCAAATCAAGAGTAAATTCAGATATTTCTTAATTCTTAATTTCATCTGTGATCTTTCCAAATATATATCTTCTTAATTACTACTACATCGATCGAATATAACCTTGAAACGCTTTATAGTATGATGTGGTTTTGGCATCACGATGTTTTCGTGAGCGAGCTTAATTAGGCAATTTTTATTGTTTTTGTACTTTTAGTTGGGAAGAATATGGGTGTCTTTGATATGAAGGATGTTTTCCAATTTTCTCATGTTTGGTTGGGTTAAATGTTTTGGAAAATGTTTTCCAAATCAACTCATTTTCCTCAAATTTAAGGAAAATGACTTCCCTTCAAAAC